GGAGGACAGGCCCGCCGAAGTAACAGGCCCGCCGAAGTAACAGGCCCGTCGGTTGGAAGAGCAGCTCAAGCGCGATAAGGAAGAGCAGATGCTCCTCATGGAGGACATTCACGCTACCTCCGGGAAAGAAATAAGGGAGGTGAAGGATAAGGTTGCTCAACATGACAACCGCCTGTTGGAAGCTGAAACCCGAATCGGCCAAGTGAACAATCGGGTTGACAACGTAATGTCTGACATGAAGAAATCACTGGACGAACTCAAACTTGGGGATGGAACTACAGCTCCCGTAGTAGCTACTAGACCTTCGCTACGTGGGTTCAAGGTGCCACCGTTCGACGGGACTTCTTCCTGGTCAGCTTGCAAAATCCAGATCGAGGCTGTTATGAAGGCGAACGGCTGGAATAAAAGTCAGGCCATAACTGCTCTCACACTACTGACCAGAACTGTTAAGGCCTGCGCGACCAGGCCTTAACAGTTCTGGAAGCTCTCGGTGAGGAAGTGACTTATGAGCAACTCCTTGAGGCTTTGGAGGCGAGATATGACGACGTTAACCTGGAACACATCTTTCGTGCGCAGCTTAAAGATCGCGTGCAGCGCATCAACGAAAACCTGCAGCAGTGGACTCTAGAGGTGGAGAAGCTGGTGCGAAAAGCATACCGGTCTGTACCTGCGCTCATTGAAGGGAACCTGGTGCAGACATTCATCGACGGCATCCGCGACCTGGAAGTCAGAGCTGCTGTGAGACTCGGGCACCACGAGACGCTTAAGGACGCCTTGGCCCATGCACTGGAAGTGGAAGCCGTGCGGCAGGATCATCATTCCCATCGCGTCAGGGAGGTTGCAGCAGCTACAGTTCGTGACCGCAACAAAGGATACAGCCCTAGGTGCTATGGCTGTGGGGAAAAGGGCCATCTTCGATCCAGCTGCCCTAACCGAACCCTAGAAAGGGAAGGTGAACGATCTCAGGAGGGTAGTGCGGCCAACAGCACCGCCCAGCAGCAGCAGGGAAACGAGTAAAAGCCAGAACTGCGGGGCGGGTGCTGGATGATGTTAAAAGAGCCCCAAGAATCTCAATCTCACAAACCCACGATGGGAACAGTCTAATCATCAAGGGGAGGTCTGAGAATGCCGTGTAAACTGACCATAGACACTGGAGTCTCTCGTACGGTTATTAGTTCCCAACTAATAAGTCAGTTCCTTGGAGACTCCGCATACAACCGAGAACGCATTAATTTGGTAACAGCCACCGGTCAGCGTATACCCGTCCGTGGAGAGAAGGATAAGATAAGATAAGATAATCATTTATTGTCATAACTGTGTACATGAGGTCTTACAAATACAGAGTATAGTTACAACAGTTTGTCCATTTCGGACGTACAATATAATAAAAAATAAAATAAAGCACTACAATAAATCAATAATTACTTCCAAAAAATTCATCTAAATTATAAAAACATTTTGATAATAACCATTCTTTTAACTTTTTTTTTAAATCATGGGCTCTCTAACGATTTAATGTATATAGGTAAATGGTTAAAGATTCTGATTCCGCTTATTAAAGTACTTTTACTATAAATGTAACTAGATGATTTAACAATGCACACATCAAAAGCGTGTTGAGTTCGTAAGTTCTTTTTTGATTCTTTTTTAATATTAAAATGTTGTTGGTTATCTTTGACAAACACAGAAATTTCAAGTATGTATATACAAGTCAACGTCAGAAATTTACAATCTATAAATACATTTCTTAAAGAGTCATATTGATTAATATTATACATAATTCTTAAGCTCTTTTTTTGCAAAACAAATGTCGACTGAATGTCAACAGAATTGCCCCAGAATATAATTCCATATGTCAGAAGTGGATAGACATGACTATAGTAATAATTTTTGCTACATCTCTAGATGCTACATTTTTCAATATTGATATGGCGTAACAACTGCTTGAAATCCTACTGTTTACTTTCTCAACATGTGATTTCCAGTTCAAATTACTATCAATGTTGATACCAAAAAAATCTCATATCATGCACTTTCTCAATTTTTTCACCGTCCATCATAATATTTAATTCAATTGGAGCTTTTCTATAATTCCTAAATTCTATTAGTTTTTTTTTTCAAATTTACTTTTAAATTAATTGAAGTTAGCCAGTTCACTACTGTGTTTAGTGTGTTTTAAATTTCATTCACAAAATATGCATCATCTAGTTTATCTTTTGATAAGAATATTGTAGCATCATCAGCATACATTACACATAGATGATTGATCATTAATTGAAGCTCGTTTATGTAAATTAAAAATATCAGTGGGCCTAGTATGCTACCTTGCGGTACACCTGGGCTTAATGTTTTGAAATCGTAATGCACTTGAGTTATTAGTTTTGTTTTTTTGTCGAATGTATCTAATATTGTCGCCTGTATTCTGTCAGTTAAATAAGATTCCATTAATTTTAGGGCTATTCCACTTATGCCCATATGTTCAAGCTGTTTTATCAATATATTATGAACAACACATTCAAACACTTTTGACAGATCCAAAAAGAGACCAACACAAGTCCTTTTTTGATCTACATCTTTCCAAATATCTTTCAAAACTTTGAATATAGCCAATGTCGTGTTCTTCCCTTTTTGAAACCCAAATTGATTTACATTTAAAATCTTATATTTGTCTAAAAATTATATTAACCTAGTTGAAATGACTTTTTCGAATATTTTTGAAAAATTTGATAATAGAGCAATAGGTCTATAATTGTTCATGTCATTTTTGGCACCTTTTTTGTATAAAGGCTTTATTAGTGTTTTTTTTTTCAACTCATTTGGAAAAACTCCTGTTTCTAAGGTCAAGTTTATAATATAATATACGTTAGAGGTTCCGCTGTTAAATGTGTACTTGATTTTATTGCTTTCATCGGTATATTATCGTAGCCTATACATTTTTTGTTCTTTAAATTATTCATTATGTTAATAGTTTCGGAAATATTTACAGGTGTCATAAAAATGCTATTTAAATTTGGATTAGTCACTGGTTTGAATGTTATGTCGCCAATAGACTGGATAGGATTATTTAATTTGTTATAATAGTCATTCATTAATTTAGCTATGTCATGAGGTTGATTAATTGTAATGTCATCTTTTTGTATAGTTTCTATTGTCTCATTAATATTATTTATTTTTGTAGTATTTTGTTCAATAACTAAACACGTAGCTTTGCTTTTATTACTACTTTGTTTTATATAGTTAATGTTTGCATTTCTTTTTGATTGCTTAGTAACTGCCTTCATAATTTTACAATAACTTTTGTATCTATTTTTCGCAGGAAGGCAGTTAGTATACCGTTTCTTTAAATATAACTGTCTTTTGTTCCTAGATATCGTAATACCTTTTGTTTTCCACTTTAATCTATTTTTATATGTTATTTTAATTTTTTTATTTGGCACACAAAGACCGTAAATCAGACTAAACTGATCTAAAAATATTGTATACGCATCATTGGGATCACATTGTGAATAAACATCTGTGAAATTAATCTGTATAGGTATTTTAAGAAAATCTCTATATACATGTCTGAGTTTCTTATAAACATATACCAAGACTTATTCTTAAAGCTTTTGTTTGAGGGAATCGATATCAATTGACAAGTATGATCAGATACCCCAACATCTAATACACTAACATTATATTGTTTCATATTAGTCATAATATTATCAATACATGTTTGTGAGTGTGAAGTAATTCTGGTAGGTATCAAAATAGTAAAATGTAAATGATTATAAGCCTGAAACATGTTCAGTAGCGATTTACTTTGTTTATGATTTTCTAATATATTTACATTAAAATCACCTAATATAAATATATTTTTATAACAATTTCGTGTTCGTATTGTTATTTTTCATAATAAATACCCCATATTAATCAAAAAAACATCCAAGTCACTATTTGGTGTTCTATATACGGATATTATTAAATAGTTTAATCCACTTATTAATACACCACAACATTCAAAATGATTTTCTATAGCCATTTCTGATATCCATTGAAGTTCGTGGTAATCCATAGATTTTTTTACAAAAATGGCAACACCGCCTCTCTTTTTACGTTTCCTACAGAAATGAGCTACTTTTTTATATCCGTGAATTTGAAATATGTCAACTTCGTGATTCTTTAAAAAAGTTTCAAAGAAACAACATACATCGATGTTTTTCTCCAGCATTAGCAATTCCAATTGTTCTGTTTTTGATTTAATACTTTGAACATTTAAGTGAATTATAATAAAACAGTTTTCATCTTTATTTACGAAAAAAGTCTGAATTTTTGTCACTTTCAATAGTTTTGTTAGGACCTAGAGTAGCATTAGCTTGTTTAAGTTTTATTTTGTTGAAAATATATGGAATAGTTAGTTGAACTTTACTTATATTTGTGTTATTATTAGTAACATTATTCGTCTTTGTGATATTATTTTTTTTTTTGAAGTATTGTGTAATTTCTTTTTTGCACTATTTTTGAGTTAGGTTGTTTTAAACATTGCGGTTTGATGGTGTTATAATCAACAAATCTATTTCTTAATCTACACTGAATATTTCTCTTAACATAAGTCTACTCATATATAACTTATAATGTTGCTTTGTGTCTCCATAGTTTAATGGTACGAATCTAGCGTGATGAAATTGAGAACACAAGAAACGCAACTGATCATTTAATTTACCAATATTTAAGATTCTGTTGTTTAATATTTCACCAACTAGTACATTTGTGTTTGATAGTAAGGATAAGTGGTAATACAGAAAAGATCTAAAGCTAAGTGGGTTGCGGTCGTTTGAACCCGCTATAATTATAACATAGTCAGATTTAGTAAAATCTTTACATATAGAATTACAATATGTTAAAATTTGTGATAGAAAAGCATTTGGTTTTACTATAGATGTCACTTGGAATTCTTTATCAATTATATTTTGGAGTAAACTGCGAAAACCTTTACCGTTTTGATTACTTAATATTAATACCTTTTTTTTCGTCTCATTTGTTATAGTATTGTCAGTGGAGTCTTCTCTTTCCTGTGCAGGCAATTCAGTAGTATTATCCACATTTCTTACATTCTCCGGTATCTTTTTTGGGCTGGATGATTTATTTTCATCTGATTCATTATGTGGTTGAGTAACAAATTCATCTTTTGTTTGATCTAAGCATGTGAAATCAAATTTATTTTTATTTAGGCTCTTGCATCCTCTTAAACTAGCACTTCTTACCGGCGTTGTTCGACATATGTGTGTCAGTTGTTTCGTCTTTTTTTCATAGTTTAAAATTTGTCTTTTTAGAGAGCTATTTACCAACAATAAATTTTCTATTTCTGTTTCGGCTATTCGGAGTTTATTTTCTAAGTAAGCTATTTTTATTTTGAGGTCATCCAAAACCTCGTTCATAACAAAACCTTCTACTGGCCAGCTTCTGTTTAAATTTGGTGTTTTGGAAACAGAGAAATCATTATCCTCCGAAACCTCAGAGTAGAGAGATGCAAAAGAGTTTGCATTTGTAATGTTTACATTATTTTTACTCCGGCGTGTAGCAAAGCCTTGTGGTGTCGATGTATTACTTGCCTGTATTTCAGCTGACGTTGATGGGTTATTTGTAATTTGACATTTATTTTTACAATTTTCACAGTTCCATTTATGACTTTTCTTCTGTTTCATTAAATAAAACAATTTCTCTGAGATATTTGTGCAAGTTAGATGATTCAATTTTTTACAGTGAGAACATTTCAAAAACTGTCTATTAAAAATAATCTTGTCGCATTTTGTATATTTTCTTGTCATTGTAATGCAGTATTGAATGTCCGCTTTGTTTACATGTTAAATGTCCGCTTCGCTCGTGTGTCTTAAAGCCGTCAGAGATAATAGAAATGACTCACCACAAGTGTACGCTGCAGCGAGTGTAGGTGTAGAGGCTATGACATAATTCGTCCGTTGTGTATAATTTTTTAAAATGGATTTCGTTATATCTTCGAAGTAAGAAAAACTTTTTATAAACAATTTTCACTATTATATTACTGAGTTCACTATCTACACTTTAATATATAACACAACAATGATCTTTTGTTTGTATATTGGTTCACAATTAAAAATCCCGGAGCATAGAAATACGTGTCTACCTTGTAAATTAACTTCAAGTTAAGGAGATGGAGTTGAAGCTAGGCAACATGATCTATCTGCATAATGTCATCGTGGCTGATATAATGGACGACTGCATCCTAGGCCTAGGCTTTATGAGGAATAATTGTTGTGAGATCGACGTTAAGCAAGGTGTTTTGAAATATGGACAGAAGGAACTTTTTATGGAAGGTGCGTTACCAGGGAACGTGTACAGCATTAAGAAGATACTGTTACGCGCTCAAATCGACAATACACTAGCGCCATCTAGTGTCAGGAACGAGAGCGAGGGGGAGCATTGAGAAAATGACATCACAAATCACTCAACCGACAGCGCCTAGTCGAAACTCGAACGCTCGGTACCTTGCGCGTGTTTACTTGAACATTCTGGATATTTCTTTGCTAATTTAAATATATAGGCGCTGCAAGATGCGATCGCAGTAGTGTTGATTTGGCGAAACAAGCGAAGCTTCGGAGCGGAATAAAGTGAATAAGTGTGTTTAATTATTAGTGTTTTTAACTTTAATTTGTGTAAAGTAAATTAAAGTGTTAATTTAGGTAATTTTATCGGCAATTTTTATTGTCACGAACCTCAAGCTCGTAACAATTGGTGTCAGAAGTGGGATAAAATCATGCCGATTTTACCTAAGGAGGAAACCGAGGGTGTCCGTACCCGAAGTCAACGCCAGCAGGAGACGGACCAACGAAGATTTGGTGGTGCAACGCCGCAGACGTCGGAGGGCCAGCCACCGGCTGAAGGCCCGTCGGTAGCTGCTACATCTGCAGCACCTGACTTAGGTGCTCTGATGGTGATGATGCAGGAACAGGTCCGTCAGTTGAAAGAGCAGCTGCAGGGCGGACAAGAGGAGCAGGCTCGCCGAAAGGAGGAACAGGCCCGTCGGTCGGAAGAGCAGATGCTCCTCATTAAGGACCTTCATGCTACCTTTGGGAAAGAGATAAAGGAGGTGAAGGATAAGTTTGCTCAACACGACAACCGCCTGTCGGAAGCTGAAACCCAAATCAAGGAAGCTAAAACCCTAATCGACCAAGTGAACAATCGGGTTGATTACGTGTGGCTGACGTGAAGAAAACGCTGGACGACCTCAAACTGGGTGATGGAACTACAGCTCCCGTAGTAGCTACTACACCTTCGCTACGTGGGTTCAAAGTGCCACCGTTCGACGGGACTTCTTCCTGGTCAGCCTACAAAATCCAGTTCGAGGCTGTTATGAAGGCGAACGGCTGGAATAAAAATCAGGCCATGACTGCTCTCACACTAGGCCTGCGTGACCAGGCCTTAACAGTTCCGGAAGCTCTCGGGGAGGAAGTGACTTATGAGCAACTCCTTGAGGCATTGGAGGCGAGATATGGCGACGCTCACCTGGAACATGTCTTTCGTGCGCAGCTTAAAGATCGCGTGCAGCGCATCAACGAAAACCTGCAGCAGTGGGCTCTAGAGGTGGAGAAGCTGGTGCGAAAAGCATACCGGTCTGTACCTGCGCTCATTGAAGGGAACCTGGTGCAGACATTCATCGACGGCATCCGCGACCTGGAAGTTAGAGCTGCTGTGAGGCTCGGGCACCACGAGACGCTTAAGGACGCCTTGGCCCATGCACTGGAAGTGGAAGCCGTGCGGCAGGATCATCGTTCCCATCGCGTCAGGGAGGTTGCAGCAGCTACAGTCCGTGATCGCAGCAAAGGATACAGCCCTAGGTGCTATGGCTGTGGGGAAAAGGGCCATCTTCGATCCAGCTGCCCTAAACTAACCGTGGAAAGGAGAGTTGATCGATCTCGAGAGGGTAGTACAGCTAACGGCACTGCCTGGCGGCGACAGGATCATCGTTTACCTCACGCTAGGGAGGTTACAGCAGTTACGGTTCGCGACCACAATAAAAGATACAGCCCTAGGTGCTATGCCTGTGGGTAAAGCGGCCATCTTCGGTCCAGCTGCCCTAAGCACACCCTAGGAAGGGAAGGTGAACGGTCTCAGAAAGGAAGTGCGGCTAAAAGCACCGCCTGCATGAGCATGTCTTAGGAGGGGGCACTGTTACGCGCTCAAATCGACAATACACTAGCGCCATCTAGTGTCAGGAACGAGAGCGAGGGGAGCATTGAGAAAATGACATCACAAATCACTCAACCGACAGCGCCTAGTCGAAACTCGAACGCTCGGTACCTTGCGCGTGTTTACTTGAACATTCTGGATATTTCTTTGCTAATTTAAATATATAGGCGCTGCAAGATGCAATCGGAGTAGTGTTGATTTGGCGAAACAAGCGAAGCTTCGGAGCGGAATAAAGTGAATAAGTGTGTTTAATTATTAGTGTTTTTAACTTTAATTTGTGTAAAGTAAATTAAAGTGTTAATTTAGGTAATTTTATCGGCAATTTTTATTGTCACGAACCTCAAGCTCGTAACAATACGGTTAGTCTTCCTCGAAATGCTGGACAACCTCACCGTTGTGTACTTGTGGAAAGGGTAAACAATGACCTTCCACGAAAAGTAGCTCGAACCTTGATCAGGACCACTGACATCTCAGAAGTACATGTGCTGAACCTTTGTGACCGGGAACAGATTATATAAAAAGGTACACTGGTTGGTACTTGTGAGGAAGTGGATTAGTTACGTCGGTGCCAATATATATCGAGTGGGATCCCCAGCAAGGATTCAGAAACGAGAGTGATCACACTTTTGGAAGACTGTCGCAATGTTCTATTCCCGAACGAATTGGTCAAGGCGAAGAAGTTGTTACTCAAGTACGCCGATGTATTTTCTTCAAACGATGCTGACATGGGAAAGACTGGCTTAGTTCAACACAAAATAAACACAGGAGAAGAATTGCCTATCCGTCAGTGGCAAAGAAGATTGCCGGTAGCACGTGAAAAGGAAGTGGAAACCATGATTGAGGGAATGTTGAAGGATGGTGTTATTGAACCTTCATCTAGTCCATGGTGTTCACCCGTGGTGCTGGTAAAGAAGAAGGATGGAAGCATGCGGTTCTGTGTTGATTACCGCCGTCTGAACGACGTTACAAAGAAGGACAGCTATCCCTTGCCAAGGACTGATGACACGCTGGACATGCTTACAGGAGTAAAGTGGTTTAGCACGCTGGGTCTAAAAAGTGGCTACTGGCAAGTTGAAATTGACCCTAAGGTCAAGGAGAAAACTGCATTCTCGACGGAAAAGGGTCTGTGGTAATTTAAAGTAATGCCGTTTGGGTTGTGCAATGCTCCAGCAACGTTTGAAAGGCTGATGGATATTGTACTTACCGGGCTAATTGGCGATGCCTATCTGGTCTACTTGGATAACATCATCATCGTAGGCCGGACGTTTGAAGAACACCTTCAAAACCTGGAACACGTGCTCATGAAGATTCAGAGTGCCAACCTCAAGTTGAGTCCGAAGAAATGTTCACTATTCAAACGGTAAGTAAATTTTTTGGGGTATGTAGTATCGGAAGAAGGTATTCGCACGGATGCAGAGACAATCGCCGCTGTCAAGGATTGGCCAGTTCCAAAGGCAAGAAGCAGGTTAGAGCATTTTTGGGTTTGTGCTCCTATTACCGGCGATTTGTGAAGAACTTTGCAGATATAGCCAAACTTCTGCACAAGCTAACCGAGGAGAAGCGACATTTCTGCTGGGTTGAAAGTTGCAATATCGCATTCCAGGAGCTCAAGAACCGTCTGTGCAAAACACCTAATTTTGGATACCCTGATGCAAGCAAAGAATTTATAGTTGACACAGACGCAAGTGATATAGGACTTGGCGGTGTGTTGTCTCAACGGAATGGTGACCAAGAGGTCGTGAAAGCGTACTTCAGCAAGTCGTTGTCAAAACCGGAAAGGAACTACCGTGTCACAAGACGCGAATTGCTAGCTGTGGTAAAGTCGTTGCAGCATTTTAGCAAATATCTTCTGGGACGAAAATTTCGCTTAAGAACTGACCATGCTGCACTAAAATGGCTATTGTAGTTTAAATATCCAGAAGGACAAGTTGCGAGGTGGATGCAAGAATACGACTTTGAGATCGAACATCGCAGCGGGAAATCTCATGGCAACGCAGATGCATTGTCACGAAGACCTTGTTCTGAAGATTGCAAACATTGTACTAGGCAGGAAAGTAAGGAAGTGGTATCCGTGAGGATGCTCAGGACAGACCACCTCAGCAACGAGTGGAAGGACAGCTTACAACATGCACAGCAGGAAGATCCGGACATCAAGCCGATTCTGGAATGGATGAAGGCCAGTGCTCCCAAGCCCAAGTGGAGCGACGTCTCAGCGATGAGTTCGACCACTAAAAGCTATTAGGCCCAATGGGACAGCTTGCTGCTTTAGGATGGAGTTCTGCGCCGTAAATGGGAAAATGTTCGGGGAGACAGCGGTCACTTGCAAATGGTTGTCCCTAAAGCTAAAATACCGGATGTTCTACAGCTGTACCATAATGATTATTCAGGAGGTCATCTGGGAGTTAAACTAACTCTACTGAAGATCCGAGAACGGTTTTATTGGGTCCACTGTCGAAACGATGTCGAGGACTGGTGTCGCAAATGTACAAGTTGTGCGGCTGTAAAGGGACCTCAAACTCGTAGTAGAGGTGCATTGAAGTTGTACAATGTTGGTGCACCATAGGAGAGAATAGCCATTGACGTGACGGGGCCGTTTCCGGAG